GCTTGTAGTTATACAGAAGTGCCCTTTATGCATATTATGGTCTACTTCTAGAACATGATGATTGGATGGGCTCAGACTCAAATTAAATGATTGACAGCTATGGAAAATATTAGATATTTAGTTAAAAAATGAAAATGTTTCTTTACATGACAAATTTGTTTCCATATAATATAACTTCATGTAAGACATCATAAATTGACAGTTTAAGAATTTTCTCAGCAGGATTTTTCTTATCACTAAACCTTAAATTGTATGAAACATGAATATTCTAATAATAGTTGTCACTTAAATCTAATCTTGTGTCAGTTATTGAAATTGAAAAGACTGGATTATTAACATTACTGAAACAGCTATTACTAGTAAGTAGTAGAGTACTTAAATTAACAAATGCTTGATACCCACAATGCTAATTATTATCATACCCGTATTTATAAACAAATCCATATGACATCAATTTGTGGGTTGGTATATAGACACTACTAAAACTAACACCAGTTAGAAGGATTGATATTAAGCTTGTGATAATTACATTTCACAAATAATCCTCACTCCTAGATGTGGTTCACCACGTTCTATAAGCTAATAGCAAAATGATTTGTATATGCACGACAAAACAGCATCGCTAATTGCGCACTTCATCCGAAATAAACGGCTATTTTCCAAATCAATGATTTATTACCCGGTTCTACTTTGAATTATTGTAACCAGACATGTGAGCATCTGTTTCAAGCAAAGATATTTGAAACGGGATTTGAAATATTGCAAAATTATTCAAATGCATTGTTCTTAACTTATGTAATAACACTGGTTTACCTTTCTAAATTGCTGGCTTTTGGACGAATTTATCCACGCTTTTTTGTTCCAATGAGCACCTAGAAATCCCTTCTTTCAGATTAGTAACATAARACAAATCTGAGTACTTTTTAAGAGCGGAAAAACAGCGAAAAAATAAGAACATCAAATTTTTAGCACATGAAACAAGATAAACCCCAGGCGTTCCTAACGTGTGGTTTCCAGACCCCTAAGGTGTGGTTGTTTATGTTGTGATGAGATGCAGTAGCCGTAGTGCCAGTCAAATGCGCCAGAAATGAGGTGTTCAAGCAAGAATATATCTGAATATATTTAGTCATCTAATAATGTAATATGGCCAGGTGAAGACCTTTGTGGGTTGCCAGTTTGGTCTGGTTTCTGTGCAGAAATGTCCCTTAAATCGCAGTTTTGGAGTTGTGAGGAGATGTAATCTAAGGCGAGAGAGAAAGCTGGTTCAAGAAACATGGCGAATCATTCTGTACCGTCGTCAAACGCTGGCGGAGTTTGGAATCGTTTGTCGAAAGACGAGTTCCAGCAGCTTCAGGAGTACACAAAATGTAAGCTGATTTTTATATTTTGTAAACCTACCTTTATCACCGAGCCGTTTAAGGTTAATATACCGCTTAAAATAAAGTAAAGTTGGGAAGCTTTACTTTCTTTACTTTTGAACGTGCCCTTCCTTGTAGCTTTCCAAATAGGATTTAGACTCGAAAGCAATAAAGAAAAATGTGCCTCTAGTACATACTTAATAATCAGCTAGCTAGAATCTTCTATCGATAGTTTATAGATTAAAAGTGTTCTATTTTTGCGGCCCGGGGAAAAACATTTCTAAACAGGTACACAGCGGAAAGAAAGCTTTGTTTAGAAGGAACGAAAATCGAGAAATAATCTTATGCTTGGGAATTATTTGTTCAAAGAGGTGAATATCAAACCAGTGGCCATTTTGAAATGACTATCTGCTGTAATGTCACTGTAAATGTGACTAAGTCAAACCAAAAATTATTACCGATGCACGCCAAATCACTGACGAATGGGCTAGGGGAATATAGTCGGGGAAACAACGCGTGACTTGGCGATTCTAACAGATCAATCTCTCTCCTGCTTCGACTGAAATTGTAATTTTACATATATAAACAATTCTTCTCATAATTGAGGACGTGCGTCAAACAAATAACAATCCCTGTAGCTTGAAATTTTATGCGAAAGTCGATAAGACGAACAGGGAATATAATCTGAAGTCCAAGGCCGATTGTAAGATAATTGTTAGATGTAAGCGAATTGAGGAAAATTTCCGAGTCGGTTTTTTGCTCTTACATGGCGCCAGAAATTTAAGCTCTGCGCTATTTGCTTTCTATTTGAAGAACCACAGAAGTCAGTCGTGGCCCTAAGTAGGAGTTCCTCTGCTTTTCATATCTCTACATCGCCGCAATAGCTTAAATTGTGTTCAAATAGCTGGCAACACAGCAAGGGCCAAACTGCTTTGCACGCTCATCTATATTTCTCAGATTCCAAAGGCACAACCAGTGTTTCTTATTAATTGGTTACTAGTATATCATTAGTAAGCTTTGTCATATCATCGTTTGAAATACTTAKTTTTTTTCGCTGAAGTCACGGCTGGAGAGGGGAGAGATTGACAAATGCAAAGCCGATTTTGCAGTATTGGTTGAAGCGCGCCATTTCGTTCTTTTTGTTTTCTCTCCATGTTTGTTCATTTAAATCAAGACTCGAAGAACTATAAACTGGTTTTTAAACATCAAGCGAAGCGTAGAAAAGATGTAGTGAATCTTTAATTAATTTAATTCTCAAAAAACACGTTTCCGTCCTTGAATGAGCACTGCAGTGAAAATAGATAGTTGTAGTACAGGTCTGTGAAGATGATATGTGCACCTAAATACGTAAGTCCTGCCAACATTGCTTGAAAATACAAATGTATACGCCTAAAACACTTCATCATAAAATATTTATCATTTTCAGCAGATAAACAGCACACTTTGTGTAAAAATAAAATATTCCCGCTCGGAATGTTTCATTCTATTGTCTCGTTCTCATACATGATTAATTTTATTTTAATCGGTAAAAATCCAAATGATTTTTAAGGTCCATTTATAAAATATTCACAGAGCTGGATCCTCTCATCCATATTCTGACAAACAGCCTTTTGAACTTCGGTATTGTTAAAAAATTGTATATTCTTAAATGGCTTAATTGTTGATTGTAAGGTTTTCAGGTAATTCTTGAGATAAGGGAAACTTATTAGGTAAGGTTACTTCCTTAAGTTACTATATTCTGAAAGAAAACCATGACAACAAAAGTTCAAAATTGGCAAAAATTCGTGCTAGTCGAACATCAAAGGATCATTTCACTATTCTTTTAGAGAGCTAAATATGAATATTCAACAAGAACAAGATAATATCCTGATTTTTTCTAGAGCATTTGTAAAATACTACTAAGATGTCAGTATTTAGGAATTATTTTTTCAGAACTCACTTTTTTGTAAGTTTTTTTTAACACAACACATCAAATCGTAGACATGGTAGTGAAGGGATGATCAAAATTTAAAACGTCTTTACTTAATTAAATGGAAATTAGAAACAATCTAGCAGATCTAAATGATCTAATGGCCTTCTTTCTCATTCAATTATATTTGAAAAGTAAATTTCAATATTTTTTTGAATTTTCATTCTTGGTATGAAACATTAAAATTCTGCTTGTCTCATTTTGAATATGAAAGGCACAGTGCATTGATTAATAATTTTTTAGCTGGGAATTTTTATTTCATGGGGAAATAATTAAGGTAAATTCAAGGATTTTTATCGACCATTTTGAACTTGGCTCATATTTTTTTAAAAAAAGGATATATGATACATAAAAAACATGTTATCATATGTATATTTGTGGTCAATGAAAATGGGCATTTGTGGTAGAAGCATCCAAATAATAATGAGAAATTTGATATTTCTCAATCAGACTATTGTAATCCTGTAATATTCTAATATCCACATCTAGGTTTTTATCTTATTTTGAAAATGATTATCCTTGACAATTTACATTTTATTACAAAATTATCAACAAATAAAGTACTTATTTGTCCAATTATATTATTGTTAATTGTAGCCTTTTCAAAATTGAAAAAAGCTGGTCCTTGAAATGAGARCAYAAGTGCTGGACGTGGTGCATTTAGGTGCATGCAATAATGTATATGTCATTTACTTGGTTTACTATATATACAAACAGTTGCAAGACATTTAATTTACATCATTTTAGTTATTTTTTGTTATTTAAAACAAATGGCGTAATGTATCRGTCTTCAGTATAATTATCACAATATGAGAAACGTTTATGTCTACAATGGCCTTACTGTTAAGAACTAGAAGTACCTCCCACAGAGATACCAGACTAATGTATCCCTTAACTTCAAATGTCAATTGAATACAGTGCTTAGGGCAAGACTTTCAAATATCTTATATGTACATGTATGTAATCAGTATCTTGCTGTTCACCCTGTCTTCTCATTATCATTGTTTTATTTCAACATTTAGATGTATATACAGCCTTTTGCACAAATTATGAGACATTTTTATATATATAAATATACAATGTACCTAACCAAATATCAAAAACACCCAAGAAATTATGGGATACCGTCGCTGATATTTTGTCTGTAACAACCTGATGCTAGGCAATCATGACAAAATATAATAGAGATATACCATAATTTCTGGGGTGTTTTTGATATTTGGTTAGGTATATTTATATATATAAAAATGTCTCATAATTTGTGCAAAAGGCTGTAATAATGATAATATATGTATTTAATAATAATAATGACAATAGTGATAGCAATAATAATAACAATAATTTAAGATAAYAATAGTGATGATGATAATGATGACGATAATCATAATCATAATAATGCAGGTATTCATGATAATAATATAGCAATGACAAAGAATTGCATTATGGATGCAATAAATAGTTAACAATAATTTTTATCAAAAAGATAATCTTGATTAAAATAATCACGAAATTCTAATAAAAACATAGATATGTATAATAATGAAAATAATCATACAATAATTATAATAATGTGTTGGATTTATTTTGCTTTAACACTGCCATGCATGTCATAAATCTGTGATACATGTATTTATGAATTTGCTTTGTGTGCTCCTATTACCAATCTAATTTAAAATTGATAACTATAAAATGATTTGCCAGATGGGAGGTCCATATGGTGAAAACTTCCCTRTTGATGTTATTGTTTAAAAGTTGAATGGGAGAGTGTTGGCCAGTGCATTTCTTATAAGCTGCAAGAAGCTTTRAGGTTTCATCATAATTTTTCTAGCCAATTTATGATTTGTTGTTTGATGAAGATTTACATTGTAAGTTCAAAAACATAATTTTCTACTGTTTTTGTTACTGTATTTTTATCAAAAACTCAATGTATCATGAAATAAAGCGCAAAAATATAGACCGGCCACATTAAAAAAAACTATGATAMGACTTTATAAGTAAAGATTAATACTTTGACCTGGGGCCAGTTGTGCAAATGGAGAAAAGACAATCTTAAAAGACATAATATAATACATAATTAATGAGCCTGTGGCTTGAATCTTTATATCCAATAAAGCATTCTTAAAACTATATACCACACTATCCTACAGCAAGAAAATCTTTATCCAACCGAGCTGATGACATCCAAAATTTATATCTTGAATTACATGAATGCAGCATAATACATGCATATCCAGGAAAATTTCTTTAAAAAGATTTATTTCTCTTTTATTTCTCTTTTTTTGTTGTTGTTGTTGTCCTTTCTGGACCATTTTCCTAAGGAGTAAAAAGTAGGTCCAGTCACCCAAAATGACAAATTACTCAAATTACTTGATCAGCACCATTTGATTTTTAAAGTTGATCAATCTGAGGGCCAGGGAACTAAACATTCAATCGTTTATTTATTTTTTTTATCAATGATAAAATGTGGAAAATGTTTCATGAATGCATGATATTTAATTCACTTTGTTATTAAAAGAGACAATAAATATATTTAGACTTTCAAGGTGAAATTTTTTCATTGAAATAGCTCTAGGTCTGCATAATGTTACAAATAGTTGCACTTTTTACCCCATAGTTCTCATGTATATTGAGTGGATCTTAATTAATCTCTCTTAATACAACCAGCCCCTGGCAATCTGAGATTTCATCTATTTCTGTTTCATTTCCATTCTCTTTTTTTTTTACTTGGGCTGCCTGTAGAGTGGGCTGGCTGGAGTTTATGTGTGTAACATAAAGTTTTTAATTCTGTTTTTCCTATTCACCTGAAGCTAAAACATTTTTATGATCTCGAAAAATGCCTTCATGTGGCTTAAATCAGATTCACATAGATATGATGTTACCATGTTGTTTACTTAACCTTTCATGTCAAAATTACTTATATTCAACAGAATGTTGCATATTTTGAATAAAATGTACCCAAAATCTATGCTAAACCAAAACTGATAAAAGTTGACATTACTTTTCAATGAWACATTGATTTACAGGATAATAAACAGAAAGGATATTGCTAGATCAGCTATTTCTATGTTCAAATTACCTATTCTTAATCACGGAGGTCTCTATAACACTGCAGACATGCAGACATCTTTTGATTGCTGTGCACCCAGCCTTCAGGAGAGAGAATATCACAGACGTGTAAATTCTATGCGCTGCAGCCCAAGTAACACTCTGTGTGTCTATAGTTTCATTGAAAATCATATCTGTAAACCACAGACTGGGTATAGTGTTTAAGTATTAATGTCAGCCAGCTTGACTGCACATTTGTCTTATATGCTGCAAAATACATGTTATTGGYTCATTTGCCATGCATGYACTAACTGGTCACTAGCCTTGATGGGCTTCCTGTGGTTTTGAAGATTTTTATTCAAGCAAATGWCAATACTGTAYTTTGGCAGGCAAATATTGCTCCTTATAATCAATGCTAACAGAATGTAACTTACAGTCAACTAGKCTCCAATTTTGCTAAATTATATTTATTGATATTGTGTAATAAAGAGATATTTATGTTAAAAGGCAAGCCTCACTGTACATATATATTACCAGTATTTACTTGTATAGTGAAGCGAGACTGTTTTTTCATAATGTAAATATACATATTTATAATATTTGTATATTATTTTGGTTATTTTGCTGCTCGAATGGAGGATAGACCAGAGGTGTCATTGAATTAAACATCATATCAGCTTTGGAAGACACAATGCTTAAAGTGACCTAGCGAAATTATTGGTTTCCAAAAAAACAACAATAAAGCATAAAGACAGACAAAACTCAGTTTCAGTTTCAGTTTCAGTTTCAGTTTATTCAAATTCAATTCCAAAAAAACTTCAAATCAATAAAACGAAGTGAAGTGACTCAGTGTGTGGAAAAACAAAAGAAGTCACCAATGGGTCCCTCAAGCTATGGGGCTGTCCTGTAGGAGCAAAACATGAACAATAATAATGTTCTAGTGAGGAACTACTGCCTGCTCTACTGGGAGCCAAGAGGAAGCTTTCCCAGGAAAGGATCATGTGTACTGGATTCACTGTATGTGCTGTCAAGAGAACTCCAAATAAAAATGCACCAATCTTAATTCCTTCCCTACTTATATTTTAAAAATATACAAAATTTTACTTTTGAATCGCAGTGTAAAGTTTTGTTAGAATGTGTTGAACATGATGATGAGATTGTTTTTAGATTGTCATGTCTAAATTTGGCTTTCCTTTGTTTATGAAAATGATAAATTAATTATTGTCKTCTCTCACTTTTTAGCCAACTCCTGGTTCTCTTAACACCTTTTTTTCTATTAATTATTTTCTTTATTTGATGCGAGTATAATATAACATGTTGTGACACCTTCATGTTATTGGACTCCATCTTATATAATATAAGTTGTTGAATTTAATTGCTGCAAAGCTTGCYTGAGTAGTGACAGTCAGTGAAATTATTTGAATGTTATAGATAACAAGGTGCTATTTAATGTAAGGTTAAGCTATTCTGGAACATTTTTAATTTGATCCTGTAGTCAAGAGAAATTATTGTTCTTCCCAATGGAGAAGTGAACAACTTTTTTAGCTCGCATTGTCTCATCTGCATTGAGCAAACTTAAAAACAATTATGTTATATTATAAATTTCAATWTGCAGGAGAGTTTTTAAACTCTTTCTGGTCATTTTATCTTTTGTGAASAAATATTTTGAGTTCACAAATACTCACATCATTAACTACTTTTTAATGTTTTAATGTTTTAATTCCAAAACTTGTTTTGAAGGCAAAATCTTATGAAAAAAATACTTGTTACATTTGACRTGCTAAAGAATCACTATTCAGAACTAGCTGACAATAATTTTAGAAAATAACATTTTGCTGTTACATAATATATGCCTTTTTCTTACCATATACACATTTTACTTAAAAAACATTGCTTTTGACACATATCAAAATCTGAAGAAATATCTTGTAACACTGTATTTTTGAATTATTTCAATACACTAGCCCACATATAGCATTAACCACAAATAAATTGTGTTAATCTGTTGTGTTGAACAATTGCTGTTTATTGTTGACATTTTAGTGKTTTTTTAAGTAGTATTAAAAGAATTTTCGTCTTTCTACTTAATGACTCACCTTGTGTTCCTGCCTGAAGTATTGTGCAGTGTTTCTCATTCTTTTAGAAATAGCAACTTAGTATTGTATTTGTAGAGCAGGAAAAATTTCTGTGAAAGCTCTAAGCATTAAATGACAGCTGAACATTTGGCCATTCAGCTGGAAAGGTTTGTTGTTGGATGCCCTTAGGTGGTAAACATAAAGTCAAGATACCATGGTTATATCTTTTTTTCAAATCTTAATTTTTTTTTTTGAAAGTGAAATGGAAAGTGAAATGTTTTTAATAACAAAACAACTTTTATCTTACCATTGTTTAGGAATTCCTTGTTTGTCATCTCATATTTTCACTGGATTTTAAGGTGTATATAATGTAAACATATGGTTCACTGTAAAGCCATTCACACCAGTGAGAGACTTAGGCAAGGTGCTGTCTTCTTATATGATAATATTCAATTGTGATGTAACACATACCTTTTAAACACCATCCAACCAATAAAAACAGCATCTRCAACTYGGTTGCCTTGCCTACTGTTAGCAATATATTATAATCATTCTCTTAAAGTCTTGGGGGCTTATGACCATAAAAGGAATTGATGGATATGTATATTTGAATTTCTCTGGATTTTCATTGGGTTGATAGTGTTYATTTTTATAACCTTACATTTTCTAATCACGTCCAGCCTTAAACCACTAGCCTTACAGGATTAATAGCAGCCATTTTTTTTTTTTTCACTTTGAGGAAAGAGAGCGATATATTGGCTGTGATTATAGGTGCAAATACAACAAAGGTTTAATTTTTGTTTCTTATAATCCTAATGATTGAAAATGCTACACAAATTTACCAAAAAGGTTGGCTATCACTTGAGACACTGTACCATCTCATTTGATATTTGTGGTTGAGAACTATTTGTGGTTTTGACCACATTCTAAACTGTTAAAAGGCATGGAAAATAATAATTACTTTTATTCTGGGGATAGCAAAGTGCAGTTGGTGAAGGATATCCTCAAGAAGTGTAAGTAAAGAAACGGGGAAATAGRAACCACTRAAAGCTATCTGTCAAAAGAGATGTTTTCTGTTATCTTKGTAGCAATATTGTWGTTATCATATTAAACTGGTTGGCTTTGTGGGATAAAATTTTCGCCTTTTTCTCCAGATTCAAATACAAGCCGTCTCACAGATGTTCTGAAGCAGTTCCGTGATGGAGTGTACCCCAAGTATAATCCAGAACAGGTAGAAAATGTCATTTATTTTGTGTGTTGTTTGTGATAGAAGCATCCTTTTAGATTAAAAATGTTTTCATGTTTCAGAAATGCAATGTATATATGTATGTGCATGTTCAATTTGAATATGAAAAACAGTATTTACTTTGAGTTTTTGATTATATGTTCATTGAAAGATGTTTTCTGAAGGGATTATCAGATTTTTTTTATGCACATTGAAATATTTCATGGCCTCAGAGATTGTAAAAAAAACACATTGATAAATAAATAAAAAAACTTGGCAAATTGGGGATACATCTGCCAGCTTAGATTTTATTTGCATTACACAGTCTTATTATTCATTATAACGTACAATAACAGTGTTAAGGTTTCTCAGAGTCTATAGAATACCAAATTCAGGGTTATATCATGACCATTACTTATTCTAATCTTGTCAAATAGTTAAAAGCTTATTGTGAATTTTTCATAATCTGTATATTTGACTGTAAGTGCTGTATTTTTGACCTGTTTTGAGATATTTTGTATTCAAAGACAACTGGTCCACAGCATGTGCTTGAGCCATATCTCTATCTTTTCTTGATCTTTTTGTACCTTATTTAAATAAGGTCTGATTGGGAGTAAAGTGTACATGTGATTCACAATTTTTTCAAATGTATTTCCGAAATAACTTTATCTTCAGTACATAATGGTGAAAACTCAGCGTTTCTTCTGTTTTTGGGTGTCATTTGATTGATGGTAAACTTGTGGTTTGGACTGAGAATAATTATGAAGCAAATTATCATAATAAAGGGTTTTCTTATCTTTATAATGGTTCTCATGGTATTCAAAATTAATTGTGGGGATTGTATACTGTTTGAGGGTTTTTCATTTCAAACTTAAGATGTTGATATATTCATAGCTCAAGCTGTTCTTTTTAAGAATACAAATTGAATGAATTATAGTAGAAATAAGAGGAATTGAAGGCTGTTTTGTCAATGTTTACAAAGTGCTTTTACCACTAATTGAGCACATAGTACATATCCTTAAATGTTTAAAGTATTTTTATTGCACTCTACTCTGGACTATTTTATTACATACATATAATACAAATTTATTCATCAATTTTGTATTTAATTTTATATCATATTTATTTAAAACAGACCCTTATGTGTTTGGTAGTTGAAGTGCAATTAAATTTACTACAGGTTATTGTTATATTAATTTTTTTCTTTTTTTCATTCTTGTCCATCTTTAGTTTTGAATATTCTATAAATCTACTTTCATAATAAACTAAAAGAGAAAAAAATAATATAAAATTAAAAAAAGTAGGAATTGATGTAAGAGAGAAAGATTTAGGTAATTTAAGTGATAATCTTTTGTGTTTCAATGTCCATCCTTTTTTCATCCTTTTTTTCATCCTTTTTTTTATTTTTTCACTTTCTTCTAAAAGATGATTTTTGAAATTAGGTATATTTTTTAAGCAATCATTTTCTTAATTTCCACCTATAAAATCTTTTCACTTTCTGCTAATATTGAAATTCTAATCCATGTATTTTGACATTAATAATTCAGCAATTGATATTTTACATTTGTATCAAATACATTTGCATTTGAGGCAGACAAAAAAATTTTTACCTCACAAAACTTGAAAGCTTAAAATTCCTTTGAGTATATTACCAAATGGATATGTATAGCTTGACCTTGGTTTGATCCCTGACATCACACTATAATGTTTATTAAGACTGCATATTCCTTCTTGATCTGGGAAATTTTCTAGCTACATTTACTCTACTGACTCTACTCTAATCCAACGTCAAACTGTAAGAAGTGTTTCTTTTTTTGTTTAAAACATTCATTGCTTGTTTTGTAAGGATAAATTTGATGAATTTCCTTAGGCCATGTTTATTGACCAGTACATATAATGTACAATATAGAAAGTCTACTGTCAAAAGATTGTATTTCCTATGTRAAAAGTCATTAACGGCCATAGGATCCATCGTGGCATATCCTCATAAGATTATCTTCTTTGCTTATAGTTTACTTCATTAGATTTTATTATTGTGGTTTCTCTAAATGGACTCTACAAAGCCAAATCTGCATTGTTTGAATCTAACAATGTTAGGTTTTCACTTTCTGAGTGGAAAACAAATTATTTCTTGTTTGATTTAAATCTCACATTTCCAACAAATGTCATTTAATTTGATGATAACATCAGCATGCTGTGTCTGACAGCATCCAATATTGTTGTCTTATACATTCACACATATTTCTCATGCAATTAGCAATTTATATTATTCCATTTTTTAATATATCCTAGCCTATGGATTAYGAAGGCTTCAAGCTATTCATGTTTGCATACCTGGGCGATGATGCTAACGAGGACATTTGTAAGCATCTATTTCGAGCTTTYCATAGAGAGGTTGCAGTCAAGAGCCTCCAGTCACCGTCACTGTCTGTTGGAGTATCTCAGACAATACTCGATAACATGGCTGCTGGGACGACGGCTACCAAGTCCTGTTCATCACAAGACTTGACTAAAACTGACCAGCAAAGAAGAGGTGAGCTATAATTAGAAAATAGYGGGAATACAGTTTTTAAAGCTGACTTTCTATTAGAGTGGTTTTCATAAACTTGTGCAACAAATTGTACTAAATAAATAGCCTCCTCAGAAGCCAAGAATTGTGTGTGGAGGAAGGGAGAAATTTATTATGAACTGGTGCACTTATTTTAAATCTCACACATTTGGAGCCTTTTTACATAGCTGGTAGATCACTAGTGATAAAACTTTATTGTCTTAGTTTTAATCGAGTACTACAAGTTCTTTGTTGGTGAACAGCAACAACTCTATGAAAACCACTGCATCTGAAATATCTACTAAACTTTTTTATTGTTTTATGACTTCTTTAAAATATTAAAATTATAACAATGAATTGTTTCATTAAATGTGTACRGCGAAACCCTGGCTTTCGGYCTCCCTATRATTCATATGACCACTCTGTTAAAACGGCCAGATTTTTATGTCCCGACAAATTAAACACKCATACGTTTCTGCTTGGTTAAAACGGACACCCACTTAATACGGACACTTGTCCGATAAACGAGGTTCCACTGTACCAAAGACAATGACAATGGTCTCGATGCAGAGACAATGTACTGAGGTCAGCTCAACAGGAGCGTAGGAAGTATTTATGGACCTTTCTACCTACCCAGGCTTAAAATTTGGTTTATTTTGAGTTTTTTTTTTTTTCATTTGTTTCTCCTTTCCATTTGTTTTCCCTTTCCATTTGTTTTCCCTTTCCATTTGTTTTTCCACCTTTTTTTTCATTTTTGTTTGTAGAATTTCATCTCAGATTTCATGAACGTTATGATTTTGAAACTGTAGACTGCGCAACAGTCAATTTGAGACTGGAGGGTGTTAGATATTATATATTCGCATCTACAGTGTATTAATATTTAACAAATAGATCTCATTTTTCCGTGCGTGTGTACTCTAATAGATACACAGATGACGTAAAAATGTAGTGAGAACAAAAAAGTACGCACGAGACGCAGTCGAGTGCGTGACTGTTGTTCTCACTACATTTTGACGTCATCTGTGTATCTATTAGAGTACACACGCACGGAGAAATGAGATCTATCTGTTTTGTACAACAAACAATTATTTTTGACGTAATCCGTGTATCTATACTTTGATAACACACGAAAGCCAACCAATCAAAACGTCTGATTTTACTGAAAAGTTGTATAATATTTGATAACGGTTCGCCTAAAATAGATCCTATAAAACCGATACTTCGACAACTGGTGCAGTAACTGATTCTAAAATGAACCCAAGAAATATAAAATAACACAATGGCATGGAATAAATAGACCTTAAAAAATCCTAAAAGCCTGATGAGGCATTGCATTTAAACATCGATTTACAGACTCGAAAAAAATCWTCCCCTTGAAAATCCTAWGTAGTATGAGATGTGMAMGAGACACGCCTTYAATCCGGCAAACTGTTCCCAGACATAGATTGGCKAGTAGATTGTTTTGGGTCTGTTATGTATTACTTAAAAATGGATCGTAAAACTTGTTCCAGAGGGCGTCTGCTTCCTTGGGAGAATAATTTTATAAAAAGGGTATAGTCAGAATGGTATTGCATGTCTTAATATTGAAACATCTAAGGCTAATCTTGAAAATGTCTAACAATTCACCCTAACTCCTCGCGCTGACAAATTTAATAATCATTGATTTGCGACACATTAATTCATTTGCAAAGCTAACATGTTCAGTTTCAGAGCTTCCTGGGATACACAGCGGTGCTGGGACGGCAGCTTTAGTCGCGGCTGCYACTGCTATCGCAGCAGGTCACGGCGGTGATAAACCAATAATCAAACTTTCTCAAGCCAAGGAAGACGAACCCCAGACAGAGAATGACACTAACCACGACACGAGGTCGTCTAAACTTAGCAATGACACTAAAGATACAAATCAAACGCTTTCGCCCCAAGACTCATGCACATTGGGTTTGGGGTCATGGGGGAAAAAGTCGGCAGAAAAACATCACTTCCGTCGTCATTCCAGTGGGTCATTCGTGGGTTAGTACCACCGTGTTTATACCACCAAACAAACTAAACACTTTAACTGATATCATTTAAGTAATTGTTATTGCTTTGTTTGCCGTTGCACCAGTTAATAAACTATTTAATCACCCCGATAATCACCTGTATAATGATAACATAACTGAACTAAAAATGAACTAAAATCAAAACAATTTAAACCAAAAMAAATAAGTTAAAACTTTTTACTCGCCAGCTCAGAAGTGTTCGCCCTGTGCCGTCAGTAAAAGAGATTGATATCCTTTGCCCATCATGACACGGAAACATCCTTGGAATCCCTGAGGCTTTAAGAGGGGGGAGGAAACGGAGGGGAGGATAAAGCCACTTGGTTGCCGAGGATGTCGTTGCCGGCCATGTTTGAACGCAGTTATAAAAAACCTGAGCAATTCGATCAAGTTCTCAGCGTTTAGTGTGTCCAAGTTGTTGTCACAGTTGCTGTGGTTGTAGTTGTTGCTACTGTTGGTACCGTTGTCTTGCCTCGTTTGGGTTTCTTGTCATTGTCCTAGTGCTTATGGTCTTGTACGCCAACTATTTCCAGGCAATATGGCATTCTTCCCTCGARCTATTTTATCTTCCTATTAAGGTGATATTTTCCCCTTTAGCATTCAAGGTTGCAAACGAACTGCCACCGTTACAACCGCGTTCAAATTCGCAAAGAAAGAAACCTTCACTTGATCAGTCGACGCTACTAAACGCGGCCACACCCATCAGGACAGTCAAAATGGTGTCCATAAGAGAAATAGCATGTTATTTGTCCATGCTGGAGGGTGGGAAAGTAGAAGACAAGCTTGAATGTAAGTAMTAAACAACATGTACGCAAACCCCTACAATCCTAGACATTTTACGCGGGACATTGAAACGAGTAACTATTTTCTCCCCCTCTTTACTCCGACGAAGGATTAACATCCGAAACGTCAGTTAGTTATTTCCCATACTTTTTTACGGTGTTAAACTTATCTTCTTTACACAACTATTTTCTCCCCCCTCCCCTGATACAACAGMAATATTGATCATGGGGGAGGGGGAGAGAGTGTAGGGTTTTTTTTTGTYAACCTAAATGATCCCTAATATCAGTGTTTTCCTTGATATACATTTTATGTTTTATGTGTTTTTACAGCAAATGATAAGAAATGTAGAACGAAAATTAACAAAAAAAAAGTCTCGAAAATAATCCCAAAAATTAGTTTTCTTTACAGAAACTAGAATAATATTAGCTTTGTTCCCTAGAAAACACAAAAACCTATTTGGGCATTGTATAAACGAATAGATCACTTTCATATGACGTCAAAGCGTCTTCATTTGGAGAACAAAACAAAAGATTTTTGCCCTCTTGGGAACTAGAATCCATTCTTTTGTCCTCCAGTTGTGGTTGCATTCAGACAAACTGTAAGGGGTATAAAAAACTATACCAAAAAAGTGCGAGAACTTCATTTAACGTGATTCCAGTTCACATGCCTATGCAGAGGAATATCACTTAATTGAAGATTTTTTTTATTTAATATTTTTTTATTCTTTCAGTTGTTTTCAGAGTTTACGATTCCGATGGAAACGAGCTGTTAGATGCCCAGGTACTTCACTATGTGCATTGTATTTTCTTTTTGGGGTTCCTGTGGATATGATCTTGACCCAGGTAACCCAAAGAAGAAAGAAAGGTGAAAAGCTGCTGAGCATCCTCTCTCAAAAATCACTACAAATCTAAATTCTTGCCTTCTTGGGATCTAGAATGCATTGTTTTGTCCTAAATGTTGTTCTGAATTCTTGCCCTCTTCACAGTGAGAGGATAATACAAATTAAAATAAAGAAATGTTTTGTGCTATTTTTGTTTAATTATGCAGTATTTACGGCAGTGTTGACGTAGTCGTAATGAAATAGTAACGAAACTTGTTATGCTGATATCAATGGTGACGTCATCGACGATATGACGTCATATATTTGTCGGAAGTTATGTTTCAGCGACAAAGTTTTGATCCCGTTAGAACCGGTGTTGGTTATTTGAGGCAATAGTCTAAATGTTCTATCCCAATTCTGACCTATTTGGTTGATTCTTACTTTGGGTTTTTGTTATAGGAACTTGAGTGCATCACACAGCAGATGATGAATGTTGCCCAGTATCTTGGATGGGATGTGACTGAACTCAAACCTGTGAGTAGTTCGCTTTCTGTCAACAATTCTTTGTGTTATATACGCAATGATTTMAAAAACCCATTCAAGAAGACATTTTCGAGCGATAAAATATAATCAATACTAGGCTACTGGTCCTGTATCATTCGTGMATGATTTAGGCGCGTAATGACACTTCTCCTTCCTTTCCATTACTTTATAAACAATCCAGTGGAGAACTTGAGATTTGGTCAAAAACATTTTTCACTTCATTCCGTGTTTCCCCCTAGGAAGTTCACTTCAATTCGTTACTTCAAGAATTATTTCACTAGTGTAAAGCGATTTTTAATTTATAACATTATTAATCGCTGGTTAGCGTCATTCTTTTTCTACGGCATCGTGGCTTTACAAAGTCGGTTAAGTGTTGTTCAATGATCTTGCGATCTTTTTTGAATAAAAATAGTTGTTTTGTCGTTGTCTAACAATAATATGGCAGCTTTCGATTATGCTCCCAAAACGTTAAACTGACGTAGTATCGTATCATATTGTCAGGCTACTACGGCTCTTGATAGATTGTTTTACAATTAGTTTTAATAGTTGGCCGATTACTTTGCTGATCTTCTTTCATACTCCTCTGAGATTGATCACGGTCAGACAACCTGGCTCTCTCGACTTTTTTATATAAAATTTTGTTCAGCTTATTTGGGCTTAATCCAAAGAAGAGATAATTATGAATTTAACCGCGTTCAACAATTGTGCTGAAAAAGTATTCATTGATACGAAACCAGAAGGGGTATCCCCTCGTGGTTTCGGGATGAAAATAGAATTAATAATATAAATAGATATAATTGACGTGAAAAATGAAATTGCTCGTTTAAAACAATAAAAGTAAAAAAARGGAATAGTTTCGGATCCAGACATTTGTCGGGGGGGTCCCAAGGAAATGACAGGCAATCGGAGAAGAAAATTAGACTAGTATTTCACTCGTTTTTTTGGGCCCGTTTTTTTGGAAAATACACAAGTTAACACGCTGCTGTGATAAAAATGTATATTTTTTGTTGGTCATTTTAATAATTATAATGCGATACAAATGTAATGTAATGCAGCGTTAGGGGGGTCTACACAATTTTACTGTCTATCTTTCTCTGAATTTTTAATTTAAATCTGTAATTGATTTGTCTTTTTTTTTCTGGTAGATTCTGCGTGATATGTTAGTGGAGTTAGACGATGATTGTGATGGCACCATTTCATTGGAAGAATGGATTAAAGGTGGCTTGACGACCATTCCTCTCAGAGTTCTCTTAGGATTAGAAACGGTAAGTTTATTTATCTTCAATCTATAATACCTTTTACCTTTCTAAAATATTGAGGTTGTRTGTTTTTGTGATGTTATTTTTCAAACGACAACGAAATGACATTTATTGAGTCGGAGTGATCGYGACGTCGACGTGCGGTCGCGCTCGCGTTTTCCCGCGCTTCTCAGTTCATTATATATTCAAAATTTATCCGATACATATCATTGGTCGATATCTAATTTYTTACCTTCTGATTTGGTTTACGTTTTATAAAGCTCCCTAATTGGCTAAATCTAATGACTACTAAGTATTTATACCAATTAAGACATTATTTTAGAATTTACTACTCGTATATGACGTAATTGTCTCAGGCTCTATTGTTTATAATCACAGGAATAGACATCAGGAAGGATATATAGGTATCTGGGGGAGTTAATTATAAAAAAAAAGAAAACAAAAACAAGCTTTTTCGAGTTTTTCGAGTGAATTTTTGCTAGTCTCATTRATATACAAGGTTTCCCGCCGGCAATTCGTTGTGAACACCTACCCATTAGGTTCCAAGAAGTATTAAAGTCAATCATTTTCTCAAAATTCTCTTTCGYTGGAGCATTTAAAGTATGAAGCGACATTTACAAAAACATCTGTCCAAGCCTTTCACAGTAAGCCCAGAATTGAAGTGAATCGTGGTATTTCGATTTTTGAGATTAATTATTTTATTGTATTTCAGCAAATTCGAGACGATGGTCAGCACCAGGTATTTATGAATACATACACTTCTAAATTATCCATTGGTTTTTCAATTTAAACGTTTAACTCGACATACAAAGTTTGCTCATATCACAGGTAACCCAGGATTAATAACTAACTATCAAGTATGTTCGCACTGATTTTGTGTTCTTAAATAATGATTTACGCCATTTTAGATATGCCTTTCTTTATCCTACTTATCTTGTACACTTGTATTGTAAAACGTACGAGAAACAAAGGTATATCTAAAATGGCGAAAATATTATGCGTACATTTATGCGACATACTTTATACAGTTAACTCTCTTTGAACGACCACTCTAGTAAGCGACCATCTCCCGTAAGCGACCACCTTTTAAATTTTCCGTTTTGTTCAATTGCCCATATAAACTCTGTAAAAAACCTTCTCGTAAGCGACCATCTCTCGTAAGCGACCATCTCTCGTAAGCGACCATCTCTCGTAAGCGACCATCTCTCGTAAGCGACCATCTCTCGTAAGCGACCACTTTTTTCTGATCCCGAGGCGGTCGCTTACTGAGAGAGTTGACTGTACTTAGTTATTCAGCTTGGATTACCTGTGCTCATATTACCGTGCATCGCACTTACTGTCTTTATTAATTCCCTAGTGGCGCCAGAAGCATTTCAACAGACCTGCATACTGTAATATGTGTCATAATACACTGAATGGATTTGGTCGTAAACAGGGTTTACAGTGTCTATGTAAGTATGATACGGACTATACAATGTTAAGAACCATTTAAAATAGAATCATTCGTGCGTTTTTAATTTTTTATAGTTTGCAAGTACACAGTGCACGAGCGTTGCGTTCAAAGAGCACCTGCTTCTTGTATCAATACTTACGTGAAGTCCAAAAGAACAGGCAAAATGGTAAGCTTTATTTCCTTTCTCTTTATTTAACACCTGTTTAAACCTCTTTCTTTTTAGGTTTTTTTTATTTCCGTGCCAGTGGGGGGTTTCCCCCTACTCATGGGGTGTAGTTTGTTTTTTTCAGCAAAATCAAAACATTAGATTTATAATGACGTCATTTCCGTTGCAGTGGGTTTTCCCTGCTTATTGTCAGATAATTCTGGAAAAAAAATATTCAAATATGATTCAATATGTAAAATAAGGCTATTTTTTAAGTTTTTTAAAATTTTAAAAGAAAATATAATTTTTTTAATGAAATAAAATGGCGCTCACATTATACGAATCGGTGTTTGTGTCAATTTTAGCTGTACGTTGCTAGCTACGTTGTAGTTGTTATCTTTTCGCCTTAAATTACCCAGATATTTGAGTCGAGAGGGTGCGCGGTAACGCATATATGTCGCCATATTGAATCTATATCCTAGCAGCATGGCGGAATAGTTTCAATCAACCTTGTTACCTGGGCCAAACGCCAAACCAATTTATAAAGGCCCGGGAATGAGGTTGAATTAGTGGCTGTGTGCTAGACCGTCCCATTTATTTGTAATTTCATTTCCTTTTCTTTTTTTTCTTTTGTTTTTTTTTTTTTCATTAGTCACCTCATCAGTTATGTTTTGTTGTTATTAGAGCATGGATCATCATTGGATCGAGGGTAACTGTCCTGGAAAGTGTTTCAAATGCAACAAGACCGTCAAGAGTAATAATTGTCTGACGGGGCTGCGATGCGCGTGGTGTCAAATGGTGGTACGTGTTGTTGATGATCAAACGATCCATTATGTCCGCCTTCATTGAACTCTTTCTCAGAGTAGACTTTTTAGATTCATATTTCTCGCGTTTAAAAAGTCTGTCCACTTAGTGATCCTTCGAATTATAGTTGTTCATTTCTAAAGCTTCTTTTGAATCTTCAGACCCACAATAGATGTGCCACAAATGTCGGTCCAGAATGCAATCTTGGACTTCACAGAGATCACATTCTACCTCCTATTAGTATTTCACCGGCAGGATTGGTAAGATGTAGTACAAGTGTAGTTTACATACACCTTCACATCATGGCGAAATGTCTCCGTATGGGGGAGGGGTTGGGAACGGATTTACACAGGCAAAGATAGTCATTCTGTAGTTAGCCTGAGGGTTAGGGAAGGTTTAATCATTTTTTGGAGAGTATGGAATTGTATTGCTGTAAATCCCCATWTRAGAACCTAGTGACGGAAATATRAATTTTAMTCGTTGTAATGTGATGAACGTTTTTAGTAATTATTGTTTGTAAGGGGCAAATCGATCAGATTTTTTACATAGCCAAAAGCATTATGGGAATAAGCACGTGTTGTTGTATTGTAGGATCGAAAGAGGTCTAGTTCTGATATCAGTAGTCCAAAGAAGAAAGCTAATTCTTACGCTAGTTTTGAGGGAATGCCAATGCAGGTATATTATAAAACTGATAGTTAATTGTGCCRCTTTTATTTCAATTTACCAATTCATGTCTTATTCAAATTTTTTTRATTTTTTAAAATTTTTTATTCAGAATTTTTTTTATTGTCCATTTCTATTTCCTTTCWTATATTCCTTGCTCATGGAACATTATATAATTTACTTTTCTTTCAATTTCGTGGCTTCTTTTTATTGGCAAGTATCGGTGATCATATAACGTGRTTGTTTTTAGATTACACCTTTGCCGGGTACCCATCCACTAGTCGTGTTTATCAATCCTAAGAGCGGTGGACGTCAGGGATCAAGGTACATTACTGACTAGTGGGTGATGGACGAGGAATGATTAATTGATTGGTCGATAAATTGATTGGGTGATTGATTGATTTATCGATAGATTGATTGAGTGATTGACTCATTGATCGATTGATTGAATGGATTGCTGATTGAGTGATTGTCATTGGATTCTTTATAGGTTTGATGATTGTCGATTGATCGGTAGATTGTTGATTGGTCGATGGTTTGTTTTAGTGAAAGATTGATTGCTTTATATATCATTTTCTAGGCTTCTTCACAAATTCCAGTATCTACTGAACCCAAGACAAGTGTTTAATCTTGGAGAAGGTGGACCAGCACCAGGGTAACATCCACGATAACTCGTAACGCCTGATCATAATCACATAATCTTATTTTTCATATATAATTATAAATTATTTATCTATTTTTCAGATTAAAATTCTTCCAAAATGTCCCCGCTTCTCGGATTCTTTGTTGTGGTGGTGATGGTACAGTGGGCTGGGTGCTAGCGACAATAGGTAAGTCCACTGCCACTTCTGATTGCAGTGCCGAGAGTGCGAATAATTTCTCTTTAGAATACTGCGCTGCAATTTGCATCATGACAGCCATGTTTAAAATTTTCCTCCACAGATCGCCTTCAACTTAAAGTTCGTCCTCCTGTTGCCATACTTCCGCTTGGGACTGGTAACGATTTGGCACGTTGTTTGAGATGGGGTGGAGGTATGTCATCCATGTGGGAAATTGTCATACACGCATGCGTATATTGATACTTTACGTTGTCTTCACAGGTTACGAGGGCGGTAGCATATCGAAGTATCTCTCACAAATACAGAGAAGCTCAGTGGTCAGTCTAGACAGGTAATCTGTAATATATAGAGGATATTACACGGTGGCGCGAAGGATATGAATTTTACTTTCGAGTKKTGAACACAATATTTTACGAGTGAGCGCAGCAAACGAGTAAAATGTTGTCTTTAACACAAGAAAATAAAATTCATATCTTCAAGCCAACGTGTTATTTTCTCTTTATTATATGGACTAACTAAAGCGACAAGTAGAAATGAGCGGGAAAGTTGTTTTTATTTGACGCGCGCGTACATCCGGGACATTTTGGTACATAACTTTTTCATATCTTCACTAGTGAAAATGTTGAAAATACGAGTGTTTTAGTTTCCGGTAAAACACTATTAACCATATAATAAAACGTCATATATTGATTGCTTTGTTTTTCTATTCTTACTCAATAAATATCATTTATATCTCATTACTTTTACAGATGGCAAATTGACGTATCAGATGTTGTCACGTCAGAAGGCGGTGATTCACCCCCACTTAATATCATTAACAATTATTTCTCCATCGGAGTGGTAAGGGTTTCTGTTTGTCATTACCGGTCTGTTGCCATGGATACAAGTTACTACTATTCTGTTTCTGTAGGATGCATCTATTGGTCTTAAATTCCATTTACAACGCGAGAAAAATCCAGAGAAGTTTAACAGTAGGTGAGTAGAGAACAATGCCATATCATCATAGTCATCATTATCATGTGCCATCACTATTATTATCATAATTTAAGAAAATAAGATATCATTCGTGTAAGTTGTTTGTTCTTAGTAATTCTTACTATAGACTATATTACTAGAGCAGAGTCACTTGAACCATGAAATAGAAACTAAATATTTAGTAACTAATTGGCACTATTTAGACACTATCACTGAACCAGAACAGTACAAAGAGATTACTTTGATTGTTAAAGTGGTCTCTTGGGTATTGCTTATTGGATCAAATAAACTGTTCCGGTTCAGTGCTAATGACTATTAGGAACTAATAGTGCCTATTAGTTAGTACTTTTTAGTTTTTATTTCATGGTTCATGTGACTCTGCTCTACTTACTATTGAAAAAGTATTCTAAGTAGTTCGTAGTTTTGGTCTTCTCTTGAAAATTGTATCTGATGGCACCGAAACGTCGAGTTTACTTGTCGTATTAAATTTTATTTTAAGATCATATGAGGTAATTGTTGTTRCTAAGGTTTTGATTGCCTTTTTGCCATAGGCTCAAAAACAAGTTTCGATATTTTGAATGTGGTACTGCCGAGACTCTTTCAGCCACTTGTAAAAACCTTCACGAAGCCATTGAAGTCATCGTAAGTAGAACGCACTATTTTCTTGTCTCGTGAACTTACAAATAACAAAAGTGATTGTTTTGTGCAAAAACGATGTACAATTGTTTAATGTCTACTAAATCCTTGTGCCACGTGACAATACGTATGATCACATGATCGTCAGTTTGTGTTATGACGATAAACAATCATTTTCTATCAGCCCATTGTATCACGTGATAATGAATATGATCACGTGGTCATTGTTTGCTATGCCGGTAAACAGTTGTTTGTGTCACGTACGATAGATATGATCACGTGATGGGTGTGTGCTATTACGACATACAACCATGTCTTGTCCACCCATTGTATCAYGTGACTATGTATATGATCACGTGGCCGTTGTTTGCTATGAATTAATGTACTTTTCTTGTTAGTGTGATGGTATCCCCCTTGAATTACCCCAACTGGAGGGCATAGCTATAGTGAACATCCCYAGTGTGTACGGTGGAGCCAACCTTTGGGGAGACACGGACAAGAAGAAAAACAAGAAATCACGTGGGAAAGGTGGAAGTCGTGATAACGACCTCGCGTGGGCCGTCCAAGGTAACACAAATAATTCAAAATACTTTGATTTGTTCAAAATCAATGATTCGCATCTCTTTGGAGACTCTACAACTGCACTTCGTGACTGAAAATTAAGTGTTTGTTCCTTAGATATTGGAGATGGTCAATTAGAAGTGGTTGGACTTGAGAGTACACTTTATGTTGGTCAAATCATTGGAGGACTACGGGCACACGGACTCCGGCTGGCTCAGTGCTCAACAATCGAAATCAAGTCAGTCACGAGACGTTTATATTTCTTATCACATTTCCTTTTCTATTCTCCTTACTTTCCATCCAGATTTGTTTTGTTCAGTTTCGTTATTATTTTGTTTTCTTACATGCCGTTCTGCGTTGTTACTTTTTATTTTGTATTCAGTTCCGTTATTTTTATATTATTTTTATTTTTGCTCAATGCCGTATCATGTTGTATTTTTCTCTTGCGGCACTGTTCCCTTTTGTTGTWACAAATGGTGGATAAATTTGTCCTCTTCCATAGAATTTGTATGGATTTTATCTGCTAGATAATAATTTATCCAGTGTATAGCGCACTTCATACAACCAGCCCCTGCCTTGTTGATCTGTTGAGTTCTTTCATATCATGTCATTTTCTTTTCAGTCCATTGTTCTTTTTGCTGTTAGGTTTTCTTGATAGTTTGCTTCCAGATGTATAGTAGTAAAGTCAAATTGTTTGTTTGTTTTGTTTGTCCAGGACAAAGAGACTGTTTCCCATGCAGATCGATGGTGAACCTTGGATGCAGCCGTCGGCTACGGTAAGTGAGTTAAAACGAAAGACTTATTGTGCCAAGGTCATCCAACATAACGTCTCCATCATTTTACGACTAACAGTATTGAATGTTATTGCAGTCATCGATACTAAATATTATCGATTCAAATATGATGGGATGTTTGCGTTGAACTTCAAAGGAAGTGCACTAACATTCCATAAACTTGATTACCACATTCAGCAGGCATACTGCTGATCAGGGTGTGGTCCATGATACATTGCGGTCGTGGTTTGACATTCTTTTTATCCTTATACAATAAATTTGTAAAAATTACATGCCAGTTSCCATTAAATGCACATTGAAATTAAGAAAATTCCCTCATGAGAAAATCTTATCATGTACTAGATGCAAACTAGACCTTATTTACTAACACTAAGCTAGCGCAAGGTTTCGCGCAGAAAGTCTGTGTTAGCGTAAGCTTGGTGTTGCTAATGAACACACTACTTGACTCAAGAGTCCAGTTACTGCGTCACATATAGGATTATTTTGTTTCTTTTTCTTTGTAGATTAAGATAACTCACAAAAACATGGTGCCAATGCTTCAAGGTCCGCCACCGGCCAAGTCATCCTTCTTCTTCAAAAGAAAACCGACCAGGGATCCAGAACTAGAGAGTGAAATCTAGTGAGTGGTTCCCTCGTCTTATTTATTTATACCTTGTTGCTATTTGCGGTGGASCCGCTTGCTAACTAATTCAGTATATCTACAAGTGGATTCTACAACTCAACCTCACTTAACAATCGCCTATCGTACTCTTAATGGGCAAACAATTGATTAATCACGTGATCTAATCCATGTTGCCATGGTGATGAAATGCTGGATATATTCATCGTTTATCAAGATTAACAACAAGAATGACGCCATAATGTCATAATGATCGCACGGTACAATAGGAGTCACTAGATTGGGGTGTTGTTTTGATTAGATGGTCAAAATAATGAGGTTTTTATATGAAGAAATGTTCGGAAAGGCGCTAACAGATCTAAAATTTCTAACCGGCCGCGTTGATTAAAGACTAGGTGATGTCATACGTCTTCCCTACATGCATCACGGGTTGGGATGTCACGGAAGAGATGCTCTATAAGTCGCTTGTAGACCTCTAAACTAACAGGCGTTACTGTAATTGGAGACTTGATGTTCAGGTCATACATATATACATGCATCACGCGTTGGAATGTCACGCAACGGGTCGATAACTCAGGTTCTACCTTAACGAACCACTAATTGTGTGACTCTGTATTGTAGCCATGAGTCTACGACTGATCCTAGTACCACAAGGGGTTGCCTGCCTGTCTTCTAACCACCGTTTTTTAGACCGTGTTTTTCGAGGATATCACAATGGCAAGATTTCATTGTATTTGAACGGTAACATATATACATATTCACAAATTATATAAACATAGGCTATAGTATATTCAGAGTATATCAGGGTGACGTCGTGAGGTGGGAGGGGAGGGTCAAAGGTAAAGATATAATTAGTTATAGTATACATGCCCAAAATGGCCGAAATGTTGTAATATATACTCGCATTGTTAGGCGTTGTATACAAATATTTATGATTAAGTTCAGTATTTGAACTTCCGTGAATTATAAAGACGTCAATCAGATATGATTGACAGTTTAGATGTACATTTTAATTGGTTTCAGTAGATATTCCATAGTCTTAGTTTCAATGCAAAAAGTTGTTTTTAATCATTTAGGTGAGTTTTAATTTCATTCCGGTTAGGGCTCAAACTCGTACCCATTCCTACTCGCGCTGTGAGCTTACAGTGCATCAATTTCCCAGAAGCCATTTCAGGTTTAAATTGTCTTCCATTTAAGGAATAAATAAGGTCACGTCGGTACAAGTTTGACAGGGGTTAGTACTTAGGTCATCGTGGTTTCCATAGAGATTTTTAATATAATCTAGAAAAGAGAATAGTTACATCAGTGGGATTAATGACCCATGACAGGGAATCCGGAACGTGGATTTAGGATTCTGGATTTTATCATATTGGTTTCACAATACAAAACATCCTAGCTTTTTTTGTTGTCAGCGATCCGTTTACAATTATGAAGTCATTAATTTAGATTCCGGATAAATCTTGTTCTTTCCGGATTCAGTTTCGATCGCCGCGGATTGCGGATTTCAAGTGCCCAAAACTTTGACCGGGTTCCGGATTCCTTGTCGTGGGGCAAAATGAGTGTGTAATACTCATGAAATAAACTTAAAAAATAAATAAATAAATCGTCCACTGTAACACGTCATAGACGTCGTCCATAGATATAGAAGTATATTTATTAATATCGACTGCTGAGGTTCTTGTTTGCATAGAACGAAACGAAGTAWCATGCATATGACTTAAACTACATTCCATACTGTATTCAGTGCATTTCTTTGTTCATTTTTGTGAAAACTTGTCACAAATGACTGTAAAAAACAGTAGTTCTTCAGTGCACAATGTGTTAATCTGATGAAAAAGAATTCTATTCCAAAATCTGACATTGTGTTTTGATGAAAGTATTTAATGTCAACGTAATGTATTGTTTTTTGTTTAACTTTTCTATATTAAAAGTCATTGCAGGAAGTTCGTTTTCGTATCTCGTCCTCTTGGCAATACAGTATTCTTTGTTTCGTAACCTATGCAAGCAAATCATCGCATTCATTTTAAAATGACACTCGAGTCATTGGACGCTTCTGGATGAAAACAGCTTGAGTATGCTTCAATGTTTGATCTAATAGAAGCTCATAGCGTTGTGGCGGCCATCTTGAATTTTGCTGTTACCTATTGAATATTCACTGGGCGTAATAGTATGTCATGGTCCAAGGGTCGAAACAGTACAATTCAAGGTGGATGTCATACCATTGAAAATTTTATTGAGCTTAGCTTATTTTTGTCACTGCCAATTTTCCCGCTTTAAGCAGATMACGTGATATTGCTGTATTGTGGCGGTTTGTGGTGCGAGTTTCTYAAAACATTTTCAAATCTCGTTCGAAAAGACAAGTATATTTCAATGTTAATCRTTGTTATAATTGAAAAAARTTATCTTTTAACCTTACCCATCTAAAACCCAGCAAAACACCGCACCACAGATCGCTGCAAGAAATCTGGTGTAGAAAATTGTTGTGGAAACGTTGACCAGTTTTCACTAAAATAGATTGAGGTTGAGACAAGAAATCAAGAGAGTATTTATCAAAGGAATATCATATATTGTGTTGCTGTTGAGCAGCTTATTGATCAGGAGTTGATTCTCCGTTACGTAGGGTATTTACGCTAAGTGTACAACGCTGCGTTACGTAGACTGCAAAATAATCCTTGCGCATCGCAGACATGGAAYAGGATAGTCCAGTACCGAAGTAGTACACTAGCGTAAGGATTGTTTTAAAGTCTATTGGCTAATCAAATTATACGTAACGCTAGTCGTTGCACGTTAAAAGAGTTACACGAATTGTTCTTAAGAAATAATTATGTACGCCATCATGAAAACAAATTGCCTACGGCATGACTCAGTCACGCAGGGCTTTACGTAAGGAYGTAYGCAAGACGTTGCGTGTGGTGTCTGCATCCATATTGAGAGCTTTACAAACGATAACGCTGTTGACTATTTGTTTASGTTTTTAGACGAGATTCTTGTGTAGTGAAAGGTGCGTTTTCGTAACGTAAAAACGTTAACAGTTTCTACCGTTTGAAAGCGTTTCCGTATGAATGCAGTCCCAATGCACAGTAMTGGGGTSGTACGTCCGTACGTAATACGATGATTATTACTGTTTATTAAATCAGTGAAACCATTGTTGAACCATTGTTTTTCGTCTTCTCGCAGTTCAAAAAACTTATTTGGTCAGCGGATTTGATCATGACGCCATGCACTTTATTCATTTTTAAGTTGTATTTGGCATCCAATAGCTTTCAGACATTACCTTAATTGTCACCTCTGCTAAGTGAAGTGATCGTAGCWTTTGCTTATGTGCGATCACACGAAAATGATCATCGTTTTCTTTTCCAAAATAKCAGCCTACGGTTATCGTTTTGGTGGTTTCGAATAAACGATAAATCAAAACGCACRAAAARAAAMMCGCTTTTTCGMAAATATCTGGATTCGTGTAATAAATGAACAKAGTGAACATGTCAATGACGTCATTCTTGTGTGTGACGGAAGAACCGAGGACCTATCACTTGGAGAAAAYCACGACTCGTTCAATCTGGCGCCCGGGAAGAAAGCTTGAAATTCATTCATTGATCTCAGCTTTACCGTAAATCATTTATATAACTCTCTCTTTTCCTCTTTCTTTTTCTTTTCTTTTATTTATTTTTTCTTGTCCAAACCACACCCTTTTGCTAAAGACCTCCAACATAATTGAGGAATCTGACTTGWATTATATCACTTGACCCCATGTTCACTGATAAGATATGGGTTTTCAATATAAATGATCATATACGATAAGAAAACGAAAAAATATCGACATTCTGGAGCGAATGCGCTTTATCCGTTAAAATTACACTAATATATTTGCGCTCAATCAGTTAATTTGTACAATTACGATTTTTGTGTTGCCATTCTGAATCTTTCCTTGAAAAAAAAGACCGAGAAAAAAAAAGAAATGCACGGATCAATTATAAGACAGAATTGATTACTAATTTTCAACATCCTTATCGCAATTGTAGCCAATGATTTCATTGATACAGTAAATGCCCTCAATGCTGAAAAATAAATAAATTGATATATAATCTCTCTGGCAATCATGAATCACTTAGAGCCCCGACTGGGAGGTATGGTTATGTATTGTACTATATCAGATTGTATAAAAACGCGATGGTYAAAGTAATAAGTTATCTAATCTACTGATTCTTGCGGTTGGTTTTATTTTAATGCAACCCTTCTTGTAAAGTGGTTTGTCGGCAAGACGGTGTCTAACAAAAAACGACATTGAATCGTTTTATTAAGAGCACCCATGGAATWTTTTACCATCGTGAAAAATAATCAACTTTGGCATATAATAGAGAGAAAAACAAATTGTTGGATTAAAAGGAATCAATGCAAGGAGTTATTAGTTTTGAGATTTAGTTGCCAGCTTTAGGTATTAAGTAATCTGAGTTGATTGTGTGGTCAGAATGGTGGMTTGTTTRGTTTTATTGTTATGCTTTGCATAGAAAAGAACTTGGTGATTGTATTACAATGATAGGGTCAGAGAAGGTTAGTTGATTGATGACAGCTGTTACGACTACAACTCCACCGCAAACAAGAATTGTCATACAGGAATTTCTCCAGCTCTTTCTTTTCCTACAGAAAGACGTTAATACTGATCAATTTCAACCGATCGAATGTTTAATCGGGGTTAATTCTTGCCCCAAGTAGACTGATCAAGTACGAAAATCAYATTGAGACAAACTAGAGGACAAACTGTGATATACAAATACCATCTACCTTCAAGCTTCGAAGCACTCACTGTAAACAATTCAGCTGCTTTTCCCAGAGAAATCCATTGACAAAAGTTAATTCTTCCAATGACATCTACCTTGGGAATCATTTGTCTTCTAGTTTTGGTCTGTCGTACTGTTGCACAGGATGTTTTCATAACGACTAAATATGGGAAACTCAGAGGAACAAGCGTTTCGTTGCATCAAAACATTGGTAAACACTTTACCMAAAAAAGGATAAACACATTTTTGGGTGTGCCTTACGCCTCGCCGCCAGTCGGGAAAAGACGACTTAAGGCTGCTGTCGATCCATGTATGTGGAAGCCAGGTATTTATAATGCTACGAACTACAGGAATGTTTGTATTCAAGACGAATCACAATACAGCTATTACAAGAATGTGTGGCCTTCGTTTGACCCAAACACTAATATCGCTGAAGATTGTCTTTACCTGAACATCTTCGCGCCAGATTTCAAAGCTTTACATCCTGTCATGGTGTACGTACAYGACGGAGGGTTTAACGTTGGTGCGTCAATTCCCTGGCCAGGTTATGAACTGGCTTTGCAGGAYGTTGTCGTTGTGACAATACAGTATCGACTTGGTCCGTTGGGATTCCTGTCTACGGGTGACCAGGAAGTACCTGGTAACTTTGGACTCTTGGATCAGGTACAAGCTCTCAAATGGGTTAAGGAGAATATCGATCGTTTCAGTGGCAACCCAAATGAAGTGACTCTTTTCGGTGCTGGTGCCGGAGCAACTTCMGTCAGCCTGCATTTAGTTTCCCCTCTTTCAGAAAATTTATTCCACAGGGCTATTTTAGAAAGTGGTCCTGATATTTCATCATGGCCAATGCAGACCACAGAAAGCATTTTGAAACGTTCAAAGGCGTTAGCAAAAAGTCTCGGCTGTTATCAAACAAATTCCGCTGATCTATTGAAGTGCTTACAGCAAGTAAGCGATGCCAAACACTTTGTGAAAGCCAATGATTTATTCAGTTCTTGGGGACTAGGTGCATTTTCGTTTGGACCTGTTGTAGGCGATTCTTTCCTTCCAGGCAGACCAGACGAGTTAAGAAAACAAGGCATGTTCCATAAGGTTCCCGTCATCATTGGTCTTGCTGCTAATGAATCGTCTCTTTYTCTGGGTCATGCATTGAAAACTATCTTAAGAGTATCGAATATCTCAACTGGCATAAACGAGGARGTGTTTCAYCAGTATTGTAACGAATACGCTCAGGCRCTCCAACCTAAATCAAGTATTAGTCTAAAAAAGGCTTTATTTGACGCCTTGTTATTTGAGTATTATCCTTGGCATGCTGCACAAGACAGCAAAGCTCGTTTAGAAGGTCTTATCAACATGGCATCAGATCATATATATGGAGCTCCCGYTATTTCRACCCTCGGYGCGCACAAAAAACACKCCCCTACTTACATGTACGTCTTCAACCAACGATCGAATTTCTCCCGACATCCTTCATGGGCAGGTGTACCTCACGGTTCCTCGTCTCCCTACGTACTGGGACTAGTTTTACAAAATTCRTCGCATTATGACGACATTGACCGCGATGTCAGTAAAACTATGATTATCATGTGGACAAACATGGCCAAATAYGGTAATCCCACTCCAAAATCTGTATTGGGGGTCACGTGGAGTCAATTTACTGTAGCCAATCAGGATTATATGAGTTTCGAGGGCAAACCTGTAGCGCAAATGGCGCAAAATTTCTACGGATCACGAGCTGCATTTTGGAATTACTACTACCCAATGATCATTAGAAAAAATGTTACATGCCCGACAAAACCACGTGTGAAATCTGTTTGTCAGACWTTACGTTGTACAAGAAATATGTTATCATTAGTATTAGCTGTATATTTAATGTTTTATGAGCTTCTGTCGTGACTATAAATAGAAGTAYAAGACTCGTTTCATTGCTCAATGATATATGGTTAGGTTTCTTGATACCATATGCAGGATCTCGCACGAAAACCCCTAACATCGCGCAATCTAATAGGGGATTTAATTGGGGGAATTCTTCAAACTTCACATTAATTGTAAGCTAGAAGGCTATATTGACTGACAAATAACTTTCTTTATTTATCAATGATAGAGTGCATGGTAGAGAGTAATGCTTAACATAGGTACGCGCTAATGTAGGCAAGTATATGGAATTTCTAACTGATTTTCATCAGACTTCTCATACTATAATAAAAGAAAAGGCACGGGTACTTATTTCCGTGGTACGCCCAGAAGGGCGTTCTTAGTTAATAATTTAGAGTAAATAGCAGGTAGGTAGTTGTAAATGTTCTTACCGGGGAACTTACTTAGWACAGCCATCTGGTTCAAAGGGCGTGGTATGCCAGTGTACTTAATAAAAGTTTACAAGTCAATTCTTTAGCATTATTCTCTAGGATCCAAATAACCACAAAAATCGACGCAAAATAAGCGCAAAAATGGCCAGTGTGAACGCGACTTTACATTAGTTTAATATTCTTTGCTTTTCACATTCAGTCTCCTTTCCTCTACCCATACACATGTAAGACCATGTAAGTAGCACACGTACGTTTAGCTTGCGTGTTAAGTGATTTCGCCGCTCGCTTATGTACTGAAAACACGGAAATAAGCTGCGAATAAGATCATAAGAAAAAAAAATCGAAAAAAGCCGTGTGATGTCGTCTGAGCATAACTCGCAAAGCATAGTGGATGTAAAATGTGCCAGCACACAAACACACATATAGCACACACATCTGAAGTATCTGAATCTAGACCTTTTACCAGAGTCCTTGTACCTGGTCTTGCTTTAATACTGAACTGGGTAAATTGAATTTCAAGGACTTGAACTGGGATTGACAGCAAAGGTGACAATGGAAAATGAGCATAGGACTATGGTTTGAACAAAAACTAAGGAAAAAACTGATCTTAAGTGATTGAATCACATTGTACACAAATCGTGAGCTTTCTCACGCTCTGAAAAAATTTCAGTGAAGTTTATAAATGAAGAAATGTAAAAAAAAAATAAAGAGATGCAAGTAAAAAAAGAAAGAAAGAAGAATAAAATGAGAGGAAAAGGGAGGAAGAACGATTTGACGATGGAGCAAACAGAAGAGATAAATGTCAAAAATACAGAAAAAAATACGAGGCATGTGAACTCAAAATACATCAACGTCGAGTAGGAATATCTGTCTCTATCTTTCCGTCTTTTGCTATAAACCATAACGACTAATCCTGACAGATCAAATACTCGCTTGAATTTTATCCCTAAATGCATTCTCCGAATCYCGAATCAGTTTGTATTCCATGTCCTATACTAACAGGAATGGAGGAGGGAGGGACGGGGGGACACCTTGCAATATTATTGGTAGAGAAGCTCGTTGGGGAGAGCCGAAAATGATAACGTACCTTTTGTGGTCAGTTTTTCGAGGATCACACTGGGCTGGATTATAATTGAAATAGTGTGATATCAAAATAATGCTTATYAAGTCGTTCATATTAGTGTTTTTAMTTAGCACCTGAGTTGATCTGTACTACTTTTTTAAGAGAGTCCCCCCTGGACCAACACTGTACACAGMAGTCCCCCCTGGAACAACACTGTACACAGCAGTCCCCCTGGACCAACACTGTACACAGCAGTCCCCACTGGAACAACACTGTACACAGCAGTCCCCCCTGGACCAACACAGCTGCATCGCATGACTTTCAACTTGGCGCGCACTCGCATCAACTTAATTCAATTGATTAAACTAAAGCCGCTTGTCTATCAAAATATGGAAGCTGCTCACTTACTTTTACTACACCTACGATAACATCACATCGACGTTATTTGTAAATATGTCCTAAGTGTTCCGTTTTCGATATTAGGAACTGCTGCATTATGGATATATATAACTAAAATGACGCTATTTATCATTACCGCGGACCGATCCAGATCATGATACAAAATCATTTTTAGCTAGTGATTCAATTAGTTTGCTGGTCGCAAATACCTCGTTATTATCAAGCTATAGTTTTGATATATACTATTCGAGCCTTAGCGAGTGAAAATGGCAGAGCTTTTTGCTTTACTCTTAGTGCGTCGACATTAGTTTTTATTTCAACTTTCGAGATCATATTGGTATCCAGGCGACTCCCGACTCATCTCAGCCAAAGCAATTGCTTCCCTATCAAGCAATGTTTCATTTTTAGTTAATTTTTGTTATTACAATCGGAAAAAAGCGGATCTAAACTTGATTGATTAAGTTATAAATCCGCAAAGTTTTGAAAATAATCTGTAGCAGAGCAGTAATAACTTAAGAGAAAAGGGAGCTCAAATAATAAATGAAATAAATAGTGACAATAGTGTATGTCTTTTGACTCGAATATTAATCTCATGAAACTCTTTATTTTGCAAACTCCAAATATTTGTGGAAATTAAAGAAGTTCTATTCGMACGGATCTGCATGACGCACAGAAAATGCTTAGAGCTTGACTCAAGACGTAATTGTAACCGTTGTTAGTGTTTATTACAAGGTAGTTCGTGCTGTACGCCCGTATGACGCAGCGCTGAGGAGGCTGAATGGTGGACAATCTACATTAGTCCATAGTTAAATCGGATTTCGTCGGTGTAGTTATCAATAAAACTCGTTCTGCTTGACGCATCTCTTTGGACAAACTATAAATCGGTATCAAATTAAATGAACGAACGAAAATTGCGAAACGCGCGCGCAGTAAGAATTCCAGCAAACATTTTTAGGCCCGGTGAAGGATGTCTTACAACTGTCTTTTTAGTATCGCCGTATTTACTCACAATTATTGTCCAAAGATAYCGGATGCTTCGCACACAACACTTGGGTTTTTGTTTGCTGTCTTTTCTTTGTTCTTTGGTTTAAGTATGACTATCTAAGTTTACAAGACATTTAGAAATGTAAACACTGCTTCTATAGCACACTGCGTGTAGTGTTGTACTAGTAAGGTTAGATGCTCTTTCTTTTCCAGTTTCTTTTTCTTTTTCATTTTTCTTTTCTTTTTYTTTCAAAWTCACATTGCGCAAAACTGAGATGAGAAAAGGCAGTGTACAAGAAATCATTGAAAATGTGGGATAAAAAAATGTCTTGTTGTATACGTTGTTGAAACGTATAAATAAAACTTAAAAAAGGATGAAATAGTGAATAGATGGATAAACAAATGGATGGATGGAAGAATGAATAAATGAGAAAACAGACACACACGAAAACAAATGACMGAACAATGTTAGAATAAACTGTGTGTTTGAATGAATAACTGACAATCAAAATCACAATAACTACAGCTGAGTTCGAGAAACTTTTTTGTTCAATGTGGGTTACGTTAGATCCAATTAYGAGCCCTACTAAGTCTWGAATRTTGAAAATTATCATCTCATTTCGACGTACATTCTGGAAGATATTTAYTTGTTGATAAGTTTTTATCAAAGTGGTTTCGCTTATCAAATGTAAACCGGCTTTCTTAAAGCCACGAAGGTTTCCTTTGTAATTCTCACTTACATGTTACTAATTACTACAGTTCTTAAATTTCAGTGTGTTCAGAGTATTGCTAGATCTATACATGAATGATTCATGGCAAYTGTAAGCCAAGTGTACGTGTTTTCAGCTACAAGATCACGCGGTACTAGTCACCCACTCGAGCTATCACAATTAGACGACCACGCTCGTCCAATCCGCCGTCATTAGTACGCCCTGTCGTAAACACCTGTCACAAATGCTTTACAAGTATTTTGAAATAATTCTTTAATTCAAGCTTGGAAGCTGAGTGATATTAATTCGCGCGCGTGCACGATTTTCTCTTAGTCTTTTAAAGCATTGAGTATACCTTTTGTTCTCTTGAGCTGTCGATTGGATGGATGATTTTCGTCTCAATTGCCCAACTCAGTTGACCAAGCGATAATGGTTTATATATTCTCATGGCCAAAAGCGATACTTAAGTAGCATTTGCTCTCGGGGCGATTAACATATGAGGACATAAAAGASCACTTCCATTGACTATTACAATCACATGATAAACAAAGAAAATTTGCTTGCTTTTGCTTTTCGATTCTATTAGCCATTACAAAAGGCCGTATAATTGACACACCTTTGGGCATAACTCGATTGGTTCCTTTATTTTTACATGTGGAAATTTAGCTCAAAGTGCAACAACATCAGTTGTGAATGCGGTCGAGGTTTTCGCTGACATGAAGGCCAAAAAGGCGCGAAAATAATCAGAGCGATCGCGTGCGCGCATACTGCGGAAGAAACTATAAATAAGAAAGTTTGTCTTCTTAATTTCCCGCTTCTGAAAACAAAGGCAAACAAAACCTTAATAACGGTCAATAAAAGATTGTCTTACAAGTCTAGTAATTGCACTAATCATATGTCCATGTGTGTTCTCTGCTATGTCTTCTACAGGGTGCATTCTTAACCGCACGTAAAATGAATAAAAAACATATCAATTACACATTTGGCTTTAGAAAGGCGCGAAAAACAACTGCACTAAACACTTATTGCAATGATACTATAACTGAAAGTGAAGATTAGCAGTTAAAGTCAAATAAAACACTTGATTTTCTAGCAATGTTAGTGCTAATGTTTTCGAACGGTTTCCAAAGTCACTGCGTTAAACTTCCCGTATTTGAAACAAGCTTGGATATTTGAACCACTAAATACTCAGAATGGTAAAACTACGATCCATCAAGTTTGTGTTGATATAAATGTACTCATGACAAAAACCGTGAAAAGACATCCGGTATCTCGTGCCAAAATGCATCCGATCGTCTTGACAAAGTGTAACTGAAACTGTACCAAGTACACGCACGTGGCTTTTAGATCAACTCTGTTTTAGCGACAACTTTTCAAGCCAACAAAACATGATGCGATCAAATAAAAAGCACTAACGAATTACTATAAGTAAGCTTGACATATGGGGCATGAATAGTGAGCAAATAGAATACTTTGGTTAATTTCTATTTATGAAAATTATAATAATTTATAATGTACTTGGCCAATTTTTTTTTTGCCTTTTTTTTGCGAAACATTGAACTTGTACAATGTTGGTAACAAGCCCCACAACGAACAAGCCCCAATTTCGTAGTATCATTATCAAGAGTAAAACAGAATAAATACAAGAAACAGTTGTGGCTTTATATCACATGTGGAAAGTGATTAAGAGGGGAGCAGCCTTTCAAGATTGTCCTTTTTTTTTGGCACCTTGCTGATAAGTTACCCCTCCCTGCTGGTCTTCTGGAACCCTCTTCCGTARTCTAATGTGCTCGATTGAAGTTTTGAAAAACAGTTTATTCTATCTCATGTTATCCTACTGGGTAGATAGGAACTGCTTTCCTGTTTAGTCATTGTTCTTGAGGCTGCCGGCGGATCACCAGGTCTTCAGACAGGATTTATATCCCACCCCATAAAAGATATAACAACTTATCAGCTAATGAGAGCAATGAGAGAACGAGGACGTCAAAAATTCAAGAAAATATCAAAAGAAATACCAAGACCCATCAACTACCTAAACTTGGATTAACCAAGCACGTTTTTTCAAGCCTATTCTCTTGTGGCTCACTCAAAACAGTGATTTGCAGGGATCAGCTTTTGAGAATTTAAAGTAATACACATTAGTAAAAAGATACTAGATTTCGAGATATCTCTGCTATCCACAAGTCTGTGAAACTTATGGTGCTTCTCGTACCTTCCAAAGTCTTAACTTTTAATATTTCAGCCGTTCGAAAWATCATTTTATAAGAAATCCAGAATCCGGATCTGTATAAAAAGTGGGATTATATTAGTTGAMAAGRAGTGATTCAACATCGATGAGGCATTTCGCTATATCAAAGGCGATTTGATCGATACATATTTAAGAGCTAATTTTTAGTTAGTGAGCGGTATACTTTAAACCCTTATACTGTCCATGCTGAGATACCGTTCCTCAGGCAATTTATAATCATAGATTTTGGTGTATCAATAARCATTCTTTTATGAAGGCCATGAAACCGACACTAAATAACACTTAACGCGTGTTATGAAATACATCATGGAGAATGCTATTACAAAATCTTGTCCTTAGTATCCCACCCGCGGCAAAATTATTACCGAAAGCAGATAATTAACACTCGAAAAAGAGTAAGAATCATAATATSCTTRGTAAACTAGCACCCTGGTCGACTATTGGATTTTTTTTYMA